GTTGAAGAACTGGTTTCCAAGCTAGAAGGATTCAGGGTCTTTTTGGCAGCATCTCCTGCTTATACTGCATGAGCACCTAGCGTGAAAGCAAAGTCATGTGGAAAGAGAGGGGAAATGCAGACACTTCACGTATCCTGGTTACCAGCCTCCTGCAGAAGCATAATTATAAAATTGCCCTTAAAAAGATAATTGCATAATTAAGCATGTCAAGGAGTTGGGTGAAAACTTGCCAAGTGCTTCCACAGATTTTAAACAACTGGTGTGGGGCAAGTCCTCGACAGCCTGTCTTGAGAAACCGCGTGCCCCGAGGGCACATCCTCCAGTCTTCAACTAAACGCTTCACGTCAGCCTGGCAAGAGAACCGGTGCAGCTTCACCGTCCTGGGGGCAGCGAGAAGGAGGCATCTCGGGTCATCTTCACTGCTCCAAAATATACCTCCCCCCACCGCTTCCACCACCAAGGTAGCCGGAAGGAGGGACTGCAGATGCTACCTGCATGGGATCCTCCAGGAAGGAGGGACTGGCTTGGCCTCAGCCAGCTACCTCCAAAACAAGAGCTTCCTACGCCTCGCTCCCCGCTAGGATTTCATACGGAGACAGCCGTCTTTCTCCACCCCGCACACCATGAAGGTACAGCCTCAACGTGCAAACCCAGCAGCTGGCAGCTTGCAAGGAGAGACCCAGAAGGTCTTGTGAGCAGGTTGCTCCCAACAGCTGTGCATTATGCATGCAACAGCACAGGGCATATCAGCAGGGAGCACGATTTAAACACAGACCTCCAAGTGCAGCAGGCTCCCCCGAGGATAGGCCTCTCAAAGACAAAGTGCTTACCTGGAGGAGCAGAAAGGTCTCTCTCGAGCTGTCCCCCTCCTCCATGCAGCACCATGCTGCAAACCTCGGTAACAGCATTGCACGACAACAAACTGCCTGTGCTCCAGTCTCTGCCAATAAGTTCCTTAGGTACAGCTACTTCCATCGGTTTTTTTAAATGCATTTCATATTCCACATCAAAATTACCCAGATCAGCTCCAAATCATATCAACTGAGCAGAAACTCAATCGTTGCAAATACCATGTATGGTGCCACGACTGGCCAGCATCCCCCACCCCAGACCCGTCACCCTGGGACTTCAGATACTCCCAAACCCATTAGCAGGCATCGCCCTTGCAGGCCCAAGCCCACAGGTCTCGAGATTCAGATGCCCCCAGATGCTACAGGCAAGCGTCCTCCATCGTCTAGGACTTCGGATACACTCCACACGTGACCTGAAGCCGCAAGTACAACTACAGGCAGTTGCAGTAAAACTGTGTCCCGAAAACCCAAAACCTTGCAACTCGGAAGGGATTTCCCCATAAGAAACAACGTTATCACTGGGGGACTGGTTGCTGAACCAAGGCCTGAAACCTTATTTGCACCCCAAATTTTGTACTCAATCAATTATAGACGAGTCATCTAGCTACATGAACGTATTTGTATGGTAAATAGCAATCCTATTGATTTGGAAGGACTTTGGTGGACTTTTTGAAGGGCTCCTGGCTGGGGCCTCCTCAGGGGTCTTGGCTGCAGGTTTTTGTCTGCTTTCCTAACAAAAATGTCTGAGGAAGTCTGGGCAGATGTTCTCCAGGGAGACGGGGGGACACAGCGAACTTGTTCACCGGCGCGGCATCGGATCAAGTGCCATCAAGTCGAAGGGGACATCGGGAAATTGAAGCAGGGCATCAACGTAGAGATGTTGTAAGTGCAAACGCTGCAACTCAAACCACCAAGCTGAGGACTGCCTGTGCCTCCGTCAGGGAGGAACCACATGCACCCAACGCCACGCCAGACGCCGTTAGACCAGCTGAAGAGCGCTCTTCCCAGCACGGGTTATTCTTCCCAGCAAGCTGCGAAGGCAGCAGCAGGACTCTGGCGCTAGCAGAGTCCCCCAGGGGAAGGGGTTCAAATACGCTGGCAAACAAGTCTGCACCTCGACAAGGCCTTTGCCTCTGCCAGTCGCTGGGACTCAAGGTACAAAGTCGTGCAACCCTTGTGTCGATGCCCACGTGCCCTCTCGCCGGCCCAGACTAAACTGGAAGGGCGGTCAGCGTGGGAGTCTCCACGTGCACTTGCTCTGAACAGGAGCTGCACGGCAAGCGCCTACTTTGCAGCCCCCCAGCCCGGTCCTGAACGCTCGGCCCCAGCGCCTGCACCGAAAGCTGCGTCTTGCCCAGCAGAGACCGCGTGTATTTAAGCAACAAGCAAAACAACCTGACAGGTGAGATGTTGGAAAATGGCTTCACCTTGATGCTTCAGTGAACACCCATCCCCGTCTCCAAGCAGCGCATGGCAAGATCACGGCTATCTGGAACAAATCAGGCACTTCACGGACACACCCAAGTCTCGCCGACACGGCCGGGATACAAAGACAACACGAAGTAAAACCCAAGAGTCAGGAACATAATAAAGAAACCAGGAGCTGTTTGGCGGCAGCAGCCACACTGGGAATTTCAGGGGGCCTAGTTAATATTCAGCGCTCTTATTCCTAAGAGCCCAGCCTCTGTTTTAAAATTTCACAGCACATCTGTGCATTACAAACAGTGTTCGTAAGGCTTCAAGCCCAAGGGAGGGACTATTTATCAGAGGATATTATGCAGAGGGTTTAGCACGAGAGCGCCGAGCTGAGCCGAGAAGCACGCTCCCAGTACTGCCCTGGACAGAGAGCTCCAGAGCTGGGTTTTAAATACAGTCCGGTGTGTGTCCAAGTACCTCAAAGAGAGCTTGTCCTTACAACGCCACGGAGAGGCTGGGAAGGATTTTTATCCCTACCCTACTTGCAGAGAGCAGACACAGGGAGAGAACAGGTGACCCGCCCAAGGTTAAACTGGAAGGCTGTAGCAGAGGTAAGGCAAGCCCTGGTGCGCAAGATGACTCTCCACCACTCATCTCCTCCCCCTCTCTTAATGAGTGCAATTATCCAGGCCTCCCCCCTTTTCTGCCATGCATCTAAATATCAAATAATCCTCAGGTGCAGCCTGAGAAGGAAAGTTAGCCAGTAGGGGCTCTCCAGTACACAGGATGGTAGCGCTGAGGAATTACCAGGACCATCGATTAGACATCTCTTGTCCCTACCAAAACACAAGCACAGATATGAGCAATCTCAGCGCCAGGCAGAGCAGTTACCACTTGCAGCTAGCATCCCAGAGGAGGAGAGGGACCAGGCCAGCAAGCAGGGCCTTGCTCTCAGACACGCAGAGCCCTGGACAAGCAGGCAGGGATTTTGCAGCGCGCGGCGAAAGCAAGTGCGCTGCAGCCAGGATTTTAACTCTGGGGCGAGGGTCCGAATCGGAGCCCAGGGGAGGGAATTCATCAGGCACCAAGGTTTGCACACTCCTCAATGGCCGTGCGTTTATTTGCAGATTAGATGCCAGGGTCATGAGATCAGAAGCAACAACCACACCACAAAATGAGGGTTGAAGGGAGCTCAGGAGGTCACATCTAGTCCAGCCCCCTGCTCCAAGCAGGACCAGCCCCAACT